CCACCCATCCATCCATCCATCCATCCATCCATCCATCCACCCACCCACCCATCCACCCACCCACCATCTTTTACCCGCTTCTTCCATTTTTGGGTTGCGGGGGTCACTGGTGCCCATATCAAGCTATCATCGTGCAAGGGGTGGGGTACACCCTGGACAGGTCTCAGTCCATCTCAGGGACACCTGGACAGGTCTCAGTCCATCTCAGGGACACCTGGACAGGTCTCAGTCAATCTCAGGGACACCTGGACAGGTCTCAGTCCATCTCAGGGACCCTTAGGGACAATTTAGAGTTACAAATCAGTCACACATGTTTTTGGTCTGTGGGAGGAAACTGGAGTAACTGGAGAAAACCCACGCAGCACGGAGAGAACATGTAAACTCCACCTAGAAAGGTCCCAGGCTGAGATTTGAACTGGCGACCTTCTTGCTGCGAGGCAACAGCTCTACCCACTGATCCATCGTGCTGCCTCGTTTAAATCATTTTTATTTTTGTTTTCCTTCTTAAAATAAAGAAGTTTCATATTTGAATAATCCAGGGTTTAATCTGGGTTCAGTTTCCTGAACCACAAACCCAACCTTCAGGACTGGATCTGCACCCGGTACTCTACCTGAACCACTCAAGAGAGACTCGGTACCGAGTACCCGGGTTCTGGGGAGGTTCTAGTGCTCTCTGTACTCACCGGCAGATGCTTCGTGGTGCCGAACAGCGTGGACACGGAGCCGCTCACGTTGGCGTTGGCCGAGTCGAGGCTGAGAGGCCGGCAGGACATCACGTTGGGCCGGACCAGGTCTTTGGGTCCAGTCACGGCAGAAGTCGGGCACTTGGACTGGTTAGTTATGGTGTTGGTGCTGTTCTTGTCAGTATCTGGAGCCAAGTCCGGGGTCTTTCTGAGGTCAGCTGCAAGCAGAAAACCACCATCATCATCATCGTCCCACGACCAGGCGGTGTTCTTCCAGAACATCTTTGGTCCACACTGAAACGAACGGATCCGAGAGGAGCCAGACAGAACCACACCAGAACTGACAGGTCACAACAAAACAATTAAAGTCCACAGAGTTTCTGTCTTAAAACCCAAACCGATGAGTGGTTCAGACCATGAGAGCAGAACTGGGTTCAGGGTTCTGTCCCAGTCCAACCTCACAGCCCAGGAAGTTCTCTGTGAGGACCTGAAGGTCCCGAATCATCAAACACACAAAAGAATCTGAGTCCTGGACCCGGAGTACTCTGCGGTCCTGAGGCGGTACCAGAACCTTTGAGACATCCCGTCTGACGGGCGCCGCCCTCTGATCTTCTTCTTCTGCTGTGAGCGAGTGTCAGATCTATGTGATGTCAAAGGGGGCGGGGCTCAGAGGTACTCTGAAGGTCACATGGTTACCGGGCTGCTTCTCATTACCATGGCAACCATCCACTCAACCGGGGCAGGGGGGATAGTAAGAGCTGCCGCCCCCCTTCTCTATAAATAGACCCAGTTCCTCGAGACGGATGGAACCAACAGAACCACGACCCGGCAGAACCAGGAAGCTGCTCGGACTCTGAGCCCAGCAGCTCCACCAGGCTCGGCCCACTCAGCCGGAACAACGAGCACAGCTTCTGACACACTTCTGCTTCGCTGCCCAGCTGACAACAGAACCGACCCGACCCCCCTCACCCCCCCACAAGCTGCTCAATAATTCAGGCTTTTCCTTTTGTCCCACTCAAACATGTCAGATTGATTGTAAACCGGGTCGGTTCCGTCATGTTTGGATCTCTGCCCCCCCGACTGGCTGTAACCCTCAGGAGGTCCGCTGAGGGTTTGCTTCTGTTAAAAGACGACTTCTTCTTCATCACTGTCACCGTATTGTTTGCTCCAAGAGGCTCAAGCTAAAAAACCCACAGGAGTGAAATTAGCCGAGCTTTGTACAGTAAAGATTCCCACCCTCGGCTGCTCTAACAGCTAAAGGAGGAAAACGTCTTCTCTACTTTCTTTAGAATGTTCAAAATCTGAATTTGGTTGAAACTCAAACAGTAAGAATGAAAAAAAAAAGCTAAAAAAGGTCAAAGTTCAAACGGTTAGTCACACACAAAAAAAAGTTTCCTGTGAAAATACAGCATGAATGATGAAAGCTGAATGACAGCCGAACACTTCAGAAGAAGCTGAAACTGAGCTGTTAAAGAAGCAAAACATTAGCTAAAAGGATCTTAATGATAGCTAGAAAATAAAGAAGCAAAATGAGAGCTAAAAGCTACAAGTAGCATAATGGTAAATACTACATGCTAAATGCAGAAAAAGGCCAGCTAGAAGCTAAAGTAGACAAATATATATATATATATATATATATATATATATATATATATATATA